TTGTGTCCGAACATGAAAATGACATTCCATAAAATGCATTCCGCAAATGGAGAGTGAGTGAGAGCGAGAGAGAGAGAGGGCGCGAGGAAAAAACGAAGAGGACAAAGTGTGATATTTTTGACATTATCTATAATTGGTAAGCGATAATCAGTTTTTCATCAATTATGCTCAATACATAATTAATTTATTAAGTGTTTTATAATAACTGCTGATGAAGCAACTCACACAACTTATAATGCAAAGCAATAAAATTAACATACCGTTGAAAGGCGTTTCCATGCACAACTCAAGCAGGGGTTGAGGAAGAGTGTCTGAGAATTTGAAATGTCTTCAGCGCCTTTTCAAGTGCGTGACATTAACAGTTGAATGCAATATTGAAAATGGCATGAATGAATAAAGGCCACCAAAAGTGGGGGAGTGAAAAAAAGGAGAGATACTGAGAGGGAAAGAGAATAAGAAAGAAGACACTCGTGATGTAAGTTCTTCGCGGCTGCAACTCATCATCAACGTCATTTGCAAAGTTCGCGTTGAAATATTTAATACCCTGTAGCCCAACTAAAAGCTGGGTATATTATGCGTAGGCTATATACAAACGAATAAATTTTGATAATTATATTTTTAGCTGTACATTATATTTGCAGTTTAAATTTTTCATTTGCTTTATCGAAGTTCGACTTCTGTAGGATATTTATTAGTGGATCTGTTAGGATACCATTAAATTTCCACTTGTTTTCTTCTTGCTGCCGTCGGCATCAACGAGTGCAACAACAGCAACAATCAGGCGACAGCTTCAGTTACTTTTAGTGGCATGCTCCATGCCCCACACCCCGTGTCCCGCCCCATGTCATCATGCCCGCCATCTGTGGTAGCGTCTCCCCCTTGCCTTCTTGTCCTGCCACGTCCTGTCGCGTCCTGCATAAGTGCCGAGTGCTTGCCGCAAATAAATTTGATTTGCATGTGCAAATGAACGTGGAATTGAATTTTCTTATGCATGAAATGTGCGCATAATTGGTCTATGGAACACTCACACTAACACAGACGCACACATGCACACAAAGGCATTCTAACGGTAGATAGACTGACAGACATGTAGTAGAAGAGAAGCCGAAAGCTGTTTAGCCTTTTACCACTTAGACGAGTGCCCCAGTTGTGGCATTGCTCGTAATTGCGTAATATACACAATTCAATTCCATTTCAGAAATATTGGTTTTGGAAAATTAAGGTATCTTGAAATAGTTGAATACTATGACTTGGAGGTCTGGAAGTACCCAAATAGCTATAAAAATATCATTGTATGTACTGGTATATTGATAATAATGTTGAACTATTTGTTTATATTGTTTAAAAAATTATAAAATAAAATTAATGTATAGATATTACTATATGCATTATATATTTTTGTAAATACTACATTACTGAAAGTTAATATTATATTACTATCAAAAGTTGGTAAGTACGTTAAGTGATTCATATATGAGTAGGAACATTATTCTCATCTAATGGAAAGGAATATAATTATCGTCAAATACTAAAAATCTTAACTACTTATACATATATTTGAGAAAGTTGTTATCATAAATAATTTTTTTAAACTTTTTGAGCATTAAAAGCATAAATGAGTTTGTAAAATAATGTAAAATAATGTAGAATATAAATTAAATTAAATTACTCGGCTGTCATATACCCTATTTTAAAACATTCGTAGAGCACAGCTGTAATTTAAGTTATACCATAAATAAAATAAAAAATGTCCAGCAATTTTTTTTTTTATTTTTTCAAATATTTAGCATATTTTAGTAGATTCAACATTAGAGTTTCAAACAAATTTTAATTCGTATGCTAGCTGACAGTGACTGACTAGAAAATATCCTATATATAGTATGTTTGTATGTCGCATCTGTTCATGAAGGATTAAGTGGATGTCATTAAATTATACAACACTGGGAATAGAACATCTTTATTTAATTATACTGCAAACACAATGAATCAAGTGTCAAGTGTGTTTGACAGTCATTATTTGCAACTTAAGAGGATGTTAAGTAGCCCGAGGAACATAATATATAATGTCCATCGTACTGCTGCTGCTGCTGCACAGTGTACAGTGCACAGAGCACTGAGCACTCGACAGACTTGTGGAAATATAATGCCCATTGTAGAGGCGTAGCTTGAATAATTAAAAATACAATATTGTAGTGCAAACAGTTGGGCAGAATGTAGAGCGTTTTGGCTGTGGCTAACTGTTGGCATCCACCCAGGCTGCACTTAGCCAAAGATATCCACTTACAGGACTCAACAGCTCCCGCATAGCCAAGCCAGCAAGCAGCCAACTAACACTGACGACTGACAGTGGAAATCCTGACAAGCTGTGCAAACAATCGAAGCAAAAGGCATGACAAAAATGCAGCCCGTACAGTGATTCCTCTGCAGGCGAACGTGAACGCTACGTGCAGATGCGCTCGCTTATAGGTCAGACAAGCCAAAAGCCCAACAACAGCCCAGAAATGAGACGGACATGTGGGTGGCTGGAGTGGTTGAAATGGCTTTAACTCTAACCAGAGATGACAGCGTGACAATAAAGGAGAAAGTACACGATATTAATGAAATTTACGCTGGCAGTTAGTGATTATATTTTACTATGATGTTTGTTGGATACATTATGTATGGTATACAAATCGTGCTTTGATGTATGAGTAAATAAATATACTTACGTTCTATATATCTATATATTCAATAAAAATTTACGTATATGTATGTTTTATATACAAAACATATGAAAAGTTGTACATATATAAATAATATATATACCAATATATATGTATATATAATATGATTAATTTTTATGATATAAATACAACATGATTTAATTTATTTATTATATGTAAGTGATAAAATTTAGCTGTAAGATAGGACCATAAAATAGAAGTTGCAAAGGCCTTTATAATTTATGTTGCCTGAAATATATTCTCAAGCAAATACAACAGTCCAGCAATACAACAACACTCAAGCAATATGATTAAAAATAAATACAATTTAATACAATTTTTATAAATGTATATTTGAGTATTTTATATTATTTTAATATAAATTCGCAGCTCGAAAGATCCATAAAACAACAAACCTTCCCATTATATTGCTTAAAAAAAAAAAAAAAAAAAAAAAAAAATTATAGTTTAATAATATTAAATAATGTTGTATTTAAATCGATTTTTATGTAGAAAAATATTTTCCTATTCCTATTAATATTCTTTAAAAAAATACACTTATATTCTATATGCTATATTTGCATTATAGCATATATAAATATTACTAATAATAAAATAATCATTTATTTAACACTTTAATTATTATGGAATGTATAGAAAAATAAATAATTAGAGTATATTTTTCTGCGAATTTCGAGGACTCATGTGACCTCTAATGGCTTCTATTGTTATTCAATCAGCTACGATTCAGCAATATTTTCTATTTAGCTGCAGAGAATGTGAACTGTTATCGTTCACTTGGTATTTATCTGTCATCTGTTATCTGGCATCTGCCATCGCTAGCTGAAGGGCATTTCGGTTCGTGAGCGCAAAGGCGACATCGTCATTGTCAACGCTTTTTGGCTTTGTTTTGCTCTCTTTGGCGACGTACTGCTACGGCAACCGTTAGCATTTCCATTCCCCATTTGGCCATTACGCCCCTCTCTTCGTTACTGTTACTGTTTTATTTATTGTTTGCGCTCATTTGAGTCAATTACGACAAACGGAGATTGTTAATTGTTTTGCTGCTCCTGCTGCTGCTGCTGCAGCGGCCGCCGCTCAAGTCCAAGACAAACAAGTCACATCCTGTCCAGTAGGCAATGGGGCAGCACTTGGTGGACCGGTGGGTGGGTGCGGCGTAGGTCGTTGGGCTGGAGATGCGCACTCCATTTTGTTTTCTAGTATTTATTCGTTTGCCTTTGTTTCGCTGCTGATGCTGCTGCGGCTGCTGCTGCTGCTGCTGCTGCTGCTTATTGTTTGGCTTTTGGTCTCTGTTGGCTTTTGTTTGTTTGCTTTTGGCCAATAAACGGTGTCTCTCCTCGCCCGCTCGCTTCTCCTCACGCTGCTCGTCCCGGCTCTGATCTACAGCGCGTTTAATGGCGCGTTGAATGTTACATTTGCTCAACGTCTACCCCTACATCGACACAGTCACACCGCCACCGCCCCCCCACCCTCTTTCTCACCCTCCAGAGAGTCACCTTCTCGTGCACGTTTCAACTGTTTTTCTTGCTGCTCGACTTGTTGTCCGTGTCTCTTGCGTAAACTTTAATTGGCTGTCAGTTCATTGAGGTAAGTTTTAATTAATTTTTTTTCGACCATGTTTAATGTGTGCGTGTGTGGGCTTGTGGAGGTATCTTTATCACAAATGGCAGCTTCTGCTATAACCAAACTCTGCTATATGAAAACTCACCAGCAGCAGCAGCAGCAGTCCGAGCGGCTAAGTGGTGCGTTAAGCTAACCACTCAAATGCTTTGCTAATTGTTTTGCCAACATTTTCGGACTTCTACTTAAAGGTATGTCAATCTTTGGAAAATTACATTTCTTCCTGCATGGGTCGTGCACACATTTACTTAATGGCAGTTTCATTTATAATTAACTTGTAAATTCGAAATGATTTCTTTAAATTTTTAATTAAGGTTTTTAAGGTAAGCTCAATTAGTTATTATAGATTAATTCGCCTATCAAATAATATACCAAATCAAGAACAGATTTCAAAAATACGTATATTTTTGTCGTTAAATTATAATACGTTTTACAACACGGGGATTTTGCATTACATTTTTGTTTTTCAGTTTTACTTTCTTTCGGTTTTTTTTTGTCACAGGTTATTAGCAGATATGCTGCAGTCGGCTTAAACACTTCTAAATGCATTACGTCACAGTTTAACATAGTAGATTTTGTCAATATGTATACACTCACATACATATACATATGTAGCTCCAAAATTTTTTGTTTTTTTTTTTTTTTTAACAAACAAGATGAGTTTAGAATTGATGGTACGCCATATTTGTCATGAATATTTAATTACTCCAACCGTGGAATTTGTCTGGATCCTACAAGGATATACGGAATATATAATATAATATTGAAAGCATTTTCTCGTTGTCCACTTACCAATTTGCCACATTTTCTTAACTCTCTCCCTTTGATGGGCCAGAAGTCTGTGCTCTTTAAGTTCAGTTGGCTTTATTTCGCCATACTTATAGCTATCTGGCGGCCTTAACACCTTGGCAGCATTGCGACTACGTCTGGTCGCCAAATAATCATCTAACTCAGGTAGCTCATCCACATCAGAATCGATCTGCCTGCGCTTTTGGAGTTTCCTATGCCAGGTTTTCACACTGTCATCCGTTGAATCATCTTTCGCCTCTGGTCTATAACGCCGCGATGGGTAATCGTCACTGGTTGTCATCATATCAGCACTGACTGTTTCATTTGTATCATCTGTATCTTGAGCCATGATACCTTTGAGTTTTTTCGAAAATTCCGGAATCTGTTTCTTAACATCATAAATTAACGTTCGTAGCATATGACGTCTCTTTAGATAATGATCCTTCAATATTTCATTAGATTGCCGTATACGCTCGGCAGCCAATTGGTTCTCAAATTGTCGTCCATGAAATGGAACGCCATTTCGTGAATTTTCCTCATTCACCTGTCTGGTCGCTGAAGTTTTACTTAAGACATTCGAGTAATTTGGTGCGTTATTTTTTTTCTGCGCATGCCTCTTCAGCTGATTATACGAGGTGACGTTGCGATGTGGAGCCCAACCTAGAGTTAAAGTGTCTTAAATATGTATATGTATTTATATATCTGCATCTCTTTCAGTTAGCTACATGAACTGACCTCTTGGGAACCTCTTGGTAAATCCAAACAAATTCAAACTATTAATTTTATTAATATTTTTTACAGCCATGGTAAGTTTCTACGGCTACACTAGTTACTATGCAATTTATGTATGAACAATTTGTTGTCTGACTGAATTGAAAATTTCTACAATGAATATGTGTACATCAATCAATTTTTGCTAACTACGCCTACTGTTCTGGAAATAAATAATTTAGAGTTGGTACCTATTCCAAAGCTTAAGAATCGAATTTGTACATATTTCATCCATTAATTTTCTTTCGATGGCCAGTGAATGGGTATTTTCTGCGAGCACTCAAAAAATTACGTGTATTGCCTCACTTAATGTCGACCGATGGGACGACACACGTTGCGCTTCATTAGCGAAATATCTCCTAATAACGTCTAATGTCTATTAAGTAGACTCAAAACACAGAAGTGCATTAAGTATTTTGTAATATTTAATGTTTCATCTAAAAAGGTCGATTCACCGCAGTTGGCAAGACTTCAATAATCCTCAACCGACCATCATCATTGTCATCATCATCATTGTCTCGCTTTTGTTGTTGTTGTTGTTTTAGTAGCATGTCCTGGTATTGCACCCGAAACGTGCTGCTGTTGGTTGGTCCTACCTGAAGCGACTCGTTTAGAAAAATTGCTCACGCACGGGTTCGTTTTGGATAGGTGAGCAGTTGGGCAATTGAGCAGGTGGGTAGGATTTTAAGTGCCGGACAGTTTTATGCTGTGGCTATCGTATCCTCTGCTGTTGTTTACCATTTACCGTTCAACATTCTCCACTTTATGTATCGTTCGTCGTCTAAGCGCATTAAAAGTTTTCTCTGCTTTTCTTTTCTTTTCGTATTTTTTTTTGTCTTCCTTCTTCTTCTTCTTTTTCTGTACCGACGATTTGCTTTATTTCGTGCACTTTATTGAAAGCACATCACGTAGTGCACCTGATTTGCTGACAATCCTTGAACATTCTAAATAGGCGGTCCGGCACAGGCTTAAGACTGGACTCAAAGCATCTACGCGAGCGGCATACGAAATTTATGGAACATTTTGTGGCAACTCCTTTTTAATTAAGATTAATTGCTTACGCTGTTCAATAATTTCACACGCCTTCTGAAATATCTCAAAAGTATTTTATTCGCGGACCGCAAACATCAATTACCGCGACTCCAAAGATGGCGAATATTTTGTAGAAGTCATTTTAAACTCATTGCCAATGATATTAATAATGATTACCCCATTGAAAACGGAAATACCGGATACATTAATGTTATGTCAATGTAACAGGTTAAAAGAGCCGCTTTTAACATTGTATTTATTTAGTGTTAGCGAGAAGTAAAACGGGATGTTGCACAAATCGTTTAGATGTTGATAAAGTTTGAATAAGAAAACCATATAGCTAAAATGGAAATCAAAATGCATTAAAGGCTTTGGTATATTATTCTTACAATCATTTGACAAATCTCTGTTGAATGTGCAAAAAAAAAACAAATGATAATCTCACATTGTATGATTCAAGATCTCAGAAAAATATTGGCGATGCTGAAATACCGACGTGCCAAAGTTTCATCTTGAGTTTTGGTAATTATTAAACTTTAATTCCAACAGGAACCTCATTGAAATCCAATATGTATATAGTTTAAAATAATTTGTAGCCTTACATATGATTTCAAATGAAAGTTTTTCTCAGTAATACATACATTACATATACAATATATTTATTGCATACAATTTATGCATATGTATATGAGGCTCAACTTGAGTTTGATCCAACCTGGTTTCGTTTTAATCGACTGGCCGTAGCTTAGCACATGCTTGGCCTGGCACCTGCTTATTGAACAGCAATCAACAAGCTACTGCAGTTCACTGGAATGCCTTCATCAGCCAAGTGCTTTTGTTGACCCTGTTGTAGCAACGCTGTGAACGTCAAACAAAGCTGAGCATCATTTTGGCTAATTGGTTTGCTACATCCTTCAGGTGTGATACACACTGGGTATATAAGTGTGTGGGTTTGTAGACCTATGCTGATATGATTCGAGTAGATTTTAATATTAATTTACCCTATTTATAATTTAATACCCTATTTCTGCTTAATTCGGATTTCTAAGTTGAGTTGCTAAATATATATACTGAAATGATTTAAAAGGAATGACAATGGAAAATAAATCTGAATAGTTATGAATTATTTTGTATTTATTATTCAAACAGTTGAGAATTTTTAGTTATATGTCCATATATATTCATTTAGCATTGTTCAAGTCCAAGTCCAAGTGGTACGCGGGCATCTACACATATGATTGTGTATAAGTGTATCTTCGTGGCAATGTGTGAAGACTCCCCCAGCCTCCTGCATTATCATGGCCAACCGCAGCATTGTGAGCAGCACGTGGTACAGCAAGGGCTGCAGCAAGCGTTGCAACACGGACTGCATGAACACATATAGATGGAACTGCTGCAGGGGCTGCAACACAAGCTGCAGCACGAACTGGAACACGGACTGCAACACTGCCTGCAGCAGGAGTCGAAACAAGGAGATCACATCTTGGCTAGAAACCATAAAATTAAATTAGAGCTTTAATTATATAAAGGCGCACGCATATTACAAAACTTACCCGTCGAGGTACCACTACACATAACTAGATACGGCATATTTGCTATCGAATTGTGCGAGTATTGATTCGAGCGTTAAAACATCTCTGCCGGTTTCACACAAATACGATCTCACAAATGTTTAACTACACCAAAGACTAAAACCTGCGAGAGTCGTTAGCATAGTTTATTCAAATATATTTTATATTTATATTTATTGAATTACTTACATGCTTACGGACAAACGAAAAGTATCACACAAACACATACGTACATGTAGATGTTTATGGAGCGGCAGTCCAAATAATTCTGTTTGAAATTTGTTGTGCTATGCCAAATAGCTGAAAACCTCATGTCAAGGCTTGCTTATCACATGATTTTCTGTGTATACTTACACGAGTATGGAAATTAATTTTCTTTGCTAAAATAAAGCACATATTTTCTGACAGCAGAAATATATAGCCAAGACGCGTTTCTATATTAAGCTGATAAATACCTAATTATCTGGACAATGCACAATAAACGGAAAATGACATTCCACATTCAGACATCCTCAACTACTACGATACCTTCAACTACTACGACATTGCTGCTTCTTCTGAAACCACCCGCAATGCCATCTCCTCCGAAAATTTTCTTTCAAGTTTTACCGTCCCCTCTTGCATTTCCAGCATTACCAAATTCACCGACTTTATCGTTACCATCACCTCCTGGTCTACCAGAACCTACCTCTTTTCTTATTCCTCCTGCTCTACCAAGCCATCCTAGTGTATAAATTATTATCCCTCGCAAATTACCAAGTTCACCCCATCCGATTACATCATTTTCAAAAATTTCTATCGGCGTATCGGTGGCAAAAGCCAAATCAACCCGAGCTAACAATTAAACCCACTCTTTCTGCACTGCAACTCCCAGGATTTCCTCCGCCCCGGCCCCTTTTCCCAGTCCATTTGGCTTACAATAGAAGTCAATATGGATTCTAACTTCAAGAATGAACACGCTGTAAACGGTGACAAATATCAAATCACTTTCTCATTTACTTAATTAAAATTTAACTGTATTTTCATAATTAGAATTAAATCATTTGTAGTTATCAATAATTCCTCGACGCTGTTCTGAAAAGAACGCTAACAAGAAGGGCCGCAGCTGCCACAGCAAGATCCACAAGGTGCATAACAAGGTGATCGGCCACATGGACCACAGGGGCCACATGGCCCGCAACAGGCGCCAAAGCAGGGCCCACAACAGGGCTCACAGCATGGCCGTCGAATTGGTATAAGAGTGCAACCACCGCCGCAACACATCTTGTATTATTAGTATTAGATCAAGCTCCTCGAGGAATCAGAAATGGATACTATCTGTGGATATGTTGTCGATTTCTCGCTGTCAATCAGTCGCAGGGTAATGATCCTCCACTAACTCACAGCAGTTAATATTAATGACCCCTATAGGGCGATAAAAACGGGAATCAATTTTAACATAGTTTTATTTTAATGCATGTATATACTTACATGATTACAAAACAGTTACAAGGAATTTACAAATATCGTGCTGATGTGTTTCATGTATAAACCTGGGAATACGAATGAGGAAATGTGTAAATTTTCCTGTACCTTGAAAATTGAATGTACTTAGGCCTACTATGACTATCTTGTATATATTTATTTTGTAATGCAATATATATATATAAAATAATAGCAAGCAAGAAAGCTTTACTTGAGACTGCTCTTTTACGAGATCCCTTGAGCCCTTGATATTTCAATAATTCTCCGCTTCTTTTCCGCTTACCCAAGAAACAATATATTCACACAGACTCTAGCACAGGCAGACGTATACGCAACGGCTTAGTAGGGGAACCTATTAACTTTTTTGTATATGGA